CTGACTCAGAGCCCTTCCTGCCCCTCCAAAGCCAGAGCCGCCTCCTACGTCCCAAAGCCCATCCTCAGCCCCACCCCGCAGCCCACACTCCAGTCACATTATGTCTGGAAATCAACGATTTCCTTCAACTGGGTCACGAGAAAAAAAAGTTTGCAAACTGCTGGGCTCGAAGCTCTTGAGCACAGCGTGTGTCTATGGGCCTCTTTTTTCTCCTGTAGCAAATGGCGAGGTGGCTACTGACCCAGGCTCCAGGCCCCTGGCGCCAGGCAAGAGAAACACCGTTCCTGTGATATAACTAGGGAGCTGCGGCTGGTGCTTCTGGAGCTGGGGCTGTTGCTTCTCTCTCTTCCGTGCCCCGATGCCATCAGGGAGGTGTGTGCGCAAACTGGCTCTCCCTCTTGGAGGCAGCCAGAGTGGACTGCCCCACATCATCCGCCCCACGCACCGCAAGGCTCAACAGCCTGGAGAGCAAATCGTGCTGAAATCCCACCCGCGGCTGAGCAGCCAAGAGCGTGACCCGCATGTGTCTCCAGGAGCTCAGCGGAGAATCGACTCCCGTCTGTCGCTGCGGTGGCCAGGCCTCGAAAGTTAGAACTACAAATCGGACCTGAATGATTCATGAAGGCTCTTTAGATCCCGGCTTTAAGTGTTGCTCTCTGCGCGTACGCAAGGAGAACGGAGACGCGCGAGGTCCGCATGTGCCGGGCGCTCCATGGAGAAGCTCACAAAGCAGCAAAGCGCCACACCCAACGGGAGACCATGTGGGTGAAATCCGGAGCCTCTTGAGATCAGCGGGAAACCTCCTGTCTTGCCACTGAGCCGAGGACATCCGACGCGTTTGTTCGTAAGTGGCGGGACTTGATGCCACGCGCCTGATGAAGCTGCGCAGGGTTATGTGCACAAAGTAACCTGCGGGCGGGGGTGGGGAGCAGCGATCGTCGGTGGTGAACATGCAGGTTCATTCCAGGCTAGTAACACGTGGAGCAATGAGGGCTAACCAGATACTCACGCTAGGGTTGCCAAAAACTTTCACAAAAAATCTCAAACACGGAAAAAAAAATTGGTTGAGAAAAAAAAAAAGTCACTACGCCTTTAAATTCCCGTGCTCCCCCACTCCCTCCACCAGACGCGGCAGGGGAAAAAACATTTCACATGTCTGTTTTTTTCTGGGGTTTTTTACCAGACAGAAAACGCAATTACTGGGCTGTCCGGGCGAAAACCAGACACCTGGCAACCCTAACTCATGCAGCAAAACAGAATGCGCCACCGGCGAACTGTCGATTTTGAGGCCACGTTTTGAACTAGACGGTGACGGGGTGTCCCAAGGGTTAAATCCAGCCCTGGAAGAAGACAGGGGCTGTGGAGCAGCCGCAGCAGACAGCACTTAATTAGGGCCCAGCCGGAGCGGTATGAAAAGGGGCTCTCGGAGGGGAGAGCACCCTCTTGCTCCAGCGATGGAGCAGGAAGGACCTGGCAGCAGGTAGACAGAGCAGGGCCGGGGAAAGGCAGGCAGTGCTGGGGAGCTCTGGCCAGGCAAACTCTCAGGCTGAGGCCCTTCTCACAAGGCCTGAGGTACTAGGGCTGCAGGGAGGCAGCCAGGGCAGCAGACGGTCCACACCCCTTACCAACGAGGAGCGGCCATTTCATACGGCCGTTTGCCCCTAGATGGCGCCTGGCCGTGGGTCACTGAGACAAGGGTACAGGGGCTGGGGGTCCCTGGGAGGGGAGGACCCCAGAGCGCTGGGGGCCCTGCCGCAGAGGAAGGGGCAGGAAGGCACATGGGGCTTGGACCAGCCGAATACTGGTAACCGAGGGCGAGATACCAGCCAGCAGGAGGCACTCTGAGGCCGAAGAGGCACCTGTTCCCAAGGAGACCAGCCTGGCTTGCCTGGATCTGGCCCTCAAGGCTCAGGGCTCCCCCTCTACCTCCAGCCTCCCTGCTGCCCCACATAAAATCCACTAGCCTGGGCCCCCCAAGTCTCTGCTTTGCCTGGGAAATGTGGGAAGCGTCTTTCTGGTTATCAGTCGGGGGCCACGTCAGTGAGATTTTTTTTTGCCTCTCGCTTGTGTGTGGCCCCCAACTGGTTTTAATGTGGGTCCACGGCCCCCGATCCAAAATAGGTTCCCTGCCCAGGCACAGGCCTTGCTCGGCACTTCTACACAGGTCTGAATGTTGCTTTGGCAAAAGAAGAGCTTTGGGCATCCGTATTCACTCAAAAATGGCTAATCCGAACCCGTCATTTTTGCCAGGCTACTGGACGGCAGAGAATTCTCCCCCGGAGTCGCTTTTTCATTATTGTCACAAAAATCCAAATGGGACACACGTTTTGATAAAAAAAATCGTTTTAAAAACTGCTCTTACCCGGGAAGGAGAGCGGGGTCCCAGACGTGAAGCAGGGCAGGACACAAACCAGCATGAGAATGCCCTTCATCTTGGATGTGCCGCAACTTACCTGACACCTGAGCTAGCCTCCGGCTTATATCAGTTTGCTGTATCACTTAGATAACGCCAGAGAAATATTAAACCGCTCGAAGTCTGGAGCCGGAGCTGAAAGCCCAGGGATAATGAACACATGCTAAGTTTGTGAGCAGCGCTAGATAAAGTCAGGCGCAGCTGTTGCCCAGCGAGATAAGCCAGGGATAGCTGGGAGGGGGCGGAGAATATGCAAGAGAAAAGAACTGAGATAGTGAAAGACCGTCAAGAGTCCAAGGCATAAGAACAGCTGCAGGAGTTCTCAGGAGCTGGGAAGTCCCCACTAGGGGTCCGTTTCCCCGCTGATTCTAAGGAGCAGTGTGGGGTACGCAGAGCCATCAGCGTGGCCCTGGGGCTCTACACACTAGGGATGGAAAATTTCGATTATTTGGCTAATTGAAGAGTTGATGCTATTTGCATCGACTATTCGATTCGTTGATAGGATGCCTCTGTCTTTGAAATTTAGCAACAGCCTCCCACTGGCCCAGAGTTCCCCGCAGCATTTCAAAGTGGTAGTACCCGGGCTCCACGTGGCGCTGCCGCTTTGAAATGCCATGTTCAGTCTGGGCCAGCTGGGGACTCCCAGCTGGCCCTGGGCTGCAGGTGGCATTTCAAAGTGGCAGTGCCACGTGGAACCCAGGATCTGGCCCCAGGCTCCGCGTGGCGCTGCCACTTAGACGCACCTCCTCTTCTCCCCCAGCCCCATTGCTGCCTCTTTCTGATAGAGGCAGCAAGCCCCTCTGTCGACTCGTGGTTCACATCCCTGCTAGACACCCTCGGCGACACCAGGAAGGTTGAAGCCCAAAGAACAAGCGACGGAATGCCGTACTCCTCCAGCAGAAAAGCGCATCGAGGAAGGCTTTTTATGCACGCGGGTGAGCCATACCGTGGCGAAGTAGGTAAACTCTGTATGAGGAGTTATGGACACTCACTGATATTATGCTTTAAAGCATCGGTGGGCAGCCTGCCACCTGCGGCCCATCGGGGTTGTGCACGTGGCCTGCGAGGGCCGTTTGTTTCCCGTTGGCTGCCAGATTCCACTGATTTCCACCTACAGAGTTTTTTTGGGAGGGATCGCTCAGTGGTTTGAGCATTGGCCTGCTAAACCCAAGGTTGTGAGTTCAATCCTTGAGGGGGCCATTTAGGGTAGGGGGCGGGTGACCTTTCAAGATCCCTTCCAGCTCTATGAGATAGGTATATCTCCAACTTGTTTCCTGCTGGTGTTACTAAAGTGACGCGCATAAAGCCAGGGCCCGTGAAGCGAGGTACGTGCTGAGCACACACCGCGCTGACCGCACACTCGCTCCACCTCCAATCAAGGCGCTGCTACAGTTCGATGGAGCCCACAAATTCTACATGCGCAGGGAGCAAAACGACGCGATCCCGGGAGACCGTCCTGGTTAGGACAATGTTGCGTTCACTCGCTAGCCTCAGTTGTCTACTGCTGCTTTAAAGTCTGTGACCAAACCAAAGGAAAACCGGGTTTTCTCCCAGACAGAAGGGATGGCAGCTCTTTGCTCGGCTCCACTGAAAATGAATCTGAATCCTACAATGGAAACCCTAGCTATATATAAATCAGCGGAGGGGAGGGGTGGATGCTATTAGCCAACCACACACAGAGAGAGGACTCAGACTCACAACAGCAGGCTCCACACTTGTGGACTCCCACCTAGTGTGCTAAAGGAACCACTTCCCACCTGGTAACCAGGATACACATTAGGACTGGTTGTGCTGCCTGGTGGTTAGAGTCAGGCCTCCTCCCAGAAGTGAGTTCACTCAGGTACTCTGATCTCTATTAAGAAGTAACCTCATTGTGCTTGACTGGGGGCTGGCGGCTTCAAGGCCCTCAAATCCAGCTGCTTTGCATTGTGGAGGACACGTCAAAGCATCTCAGATCCCCTTGGGTCGGGGAAATTAACAATAAAATCAGCTCTCCCTGGGAAAACGATGAGTTAATTCTGATTTTTTTTATTCCTCTTTGTTTCTTAGCTCTCAGCAGATGCGCTTCTGGATTTTATATTTCTATGTAAACGGCAGCATCACCTCCAAGTACTGTCCTCAAAAGAGCAAGGGAGGGCTGGTGAGAAACCAGACGCATCAGCTGGCTCAGGTGGAGCTGGCTCCGGTAGTGGGAGGGATCCCCTTTCGATGAAATTGGCATGGCAGCTGACGACCGCAGCTTTATTTGAGGGGTGGACCGGAGTAGCCCATAGCCAGGGTCTCAGGCACAAGCAGAGTATGCTAATGCCGTTCTCTTTCAGGGTGAGCCCTGAAAGCCATTCATCATCTCAAATCGGCAGGTGGAGGCTGGAGAGACACAGATTGAACATGTCCAGTTGGAAGTGCATTTCAAAGCCTCCGTGCCACCTTGCCCAAAGCCACGCGGGCGGAAGAGCCCTGTGGCCATTCCGATCTGGAATCCAGACCCTCCTGGTTTTCATTTGCGTTGCTCCATCCCCTTCTCGTGTGTTTTATTGACAGGGATAAAAAAAGGGGGTGGGTGTTGGAGGCGGAGGATGCAGGTGGAGCCTCGCGGGGGCTGCTCTGCGGTGACGACAGATTGTGAACATAAGAACGGCTGTACTGGGTCAGACCAAAGGTCCGTCTAGCCCAGTATCCTGTCTGCCAACAGTGGCCAGCACCAGGTGCCCCACAGAGGGTGGACCGAAGACAATGATCAAGCGATTTGTCTCCTGCCATCCCTCTCCAGCCTCTGACAAACAGAGGCCAGGGACACCATTTCTATCCCCTGGCTAATAGCCTTTTATGGACCTACCCTCCATGAAATTATCTAGCTTCTCTTTAAACTCTCTTATAGTCCTAGCCTTCACAGCCTCCTCTGGCAAGGAGTTCCACAGGTTGACTACACACTGTGTGAAGAACTTTCTTATATTGTGGGTGAAGGCAGCACGGCACTAAGTCACCCCCTGGACTTCAGTATCGTAGCCCTGACCACGTTCCCCTTTCAAGTGCCAGTGCCAGAGATGGGCACCAGAAATCATCTCCAGTGAGCTGGGGCTTTGTGCCCAGTTGTCAGTGTGGCTACACGTATAGGCAAGCGATCTTACCTGCCCACGGTCCCTTCCCTTCTCTTACGCCCCCCCGGAAGCTAGAGGAAGCCCAGCATACCCTCCCCAGAGAGGTCCTCGGAGCGACCCGTTTCACAGGGCTGACCATGCGCCGCGCCGGCCAGCTGGACAAAGCAGCTGTGGAGAAACGGGACCATCTGGACCATTTTGTTCCCGCGGCAGGGTGGCCACAAGCTGACGCGGGAAGCGGGAATCTGTTGCTGAGACGCCAGGAAAGCAAGCGCGCGGGGTTCCTGGAGAGTCATGTGTTAACGTAATTGACCTCTGGGCTTTACCCCTCCGCAGACCCCGTGCCAACTCTGCGCGCAAGGACTGACTCGGCCTTCAGGGTAGGTCTCACCTCAAGCCCCTCCCGTCCCAAGAAGCCCAACACGGCCCCTCATCCGGATGGCGCAGAGACCACTCAGCTGGTAAATTGCCCGTCTGTCCGACAAGCGGGCTGCAGCACAATCCTTTTATCTCCAAGGGCTTGTTTAATATTTAAGGGATCAAATGCTGCCCCCATTGGACTTTCCCACTGACGTTTCAGAGGGATTTTGCCAGGTGGACCCGCTGAAACGCAGTGGGCTGGATAGCAAGCAGAAGAAAATTATCCTGCGTGTTCCCTTGTTTCCCCTTCAGGGCGCTGGGTTGGGCCCAAATCGGGCTCTGCCACGCCGCATGTTTTCTACTCCTCCAACTGCTGACTCCATGCTCCCCACCCAGGGCTGGACCGAGCCATTCCGGCGCCCCGGACAGACAGTTTAATTGTGCCCCAGGTTGGGGGAGGGCACATGCGTGGCCCCGCCCCCACCCACGGCGAGTGGGAGGGCGTGCGGAGCTGGCAGCAGCAGGACACACGTGCCCGGCCCGGCCCAGCCTGGCTACCGTCGCTGGTGCGCAGCCAGGGGCGACCCGGGATGGTCCAACCCTGGCCGTGCAGGGTCCCACAGCCGCAGGGGAAAGGGCGCTGCTGGCTGGCGTTGCGGGGGTTAACGCGGCCACTGCAGGGTGGCCCTGGGAGCTGCGCGCCCCTTACAGCTGCCATCAGGCACCCCCCATAGGTTGGCGCTCTGGGCAGCTGCCCAGCTAGTCCATGCCTTAATCCGGCTCTAGCCCCACGCCCACACGTTACAGGATGTCTTCCTGCCTGGAATTGCGGACTAGGTGTGATATTCATTTGGGGGCAACTTTTTTAATCGGTGAAGATCTCTGGAGCAGCTAGAGTTCCTGCACGGGGATATTAAGAGACAGTCCATGTGCTTTGGTAATTTCCTTAAGCTTCCATCCCTAAGGGTAACATATGCGGTCTTCACACCATGCTTGCTCGCTGTTTGGCACAGGAATTCCTTGGGTGGCGAGGGCGGGGGCCAGGAACAACCAGTTGGGGAGGAGGATCTGCATGCATTGTGTGCTACCACGTCTGTGCTGGGAGTCCGTTTAGCAAGGTTGGGGACTGCCAAGGACCATGCCCGCTGAAAGGGCCCCACCTGACAGTCTCTTTGTTGCTGGAAGGCAGGAGCAAGGATTCCAACAAAGTGGGCAGAAGGCTGCTTCATGCACGCTTCCGGCTCTCCCTTCCAGGGAAAGACTCGCAAGCGGGGAAGCGAGGATCAGACCACAAACACAGGGTTTCACACCGTGTGCCCGTTTCTCATGACTAATCTTTCCCCTGCAGAAGTTCAGAGCTCACAAATACAACAGTTCTGCTCCTTCTTTTAAAGCTGGGGTGGAGAATGTAGGGCTTAGGGGCAGGGTCCAGACGGAGGCACGGGCGAGCCGGGCAGCTGCCCAGGGTGTCAACTGAGGGGGGACACCTGATGGCAGCTGTAAGGGGCATGTGGCATCCCTTATAGCTGCCATCAGGTGCTGCGTGCCCGGCTCCTGCAGTGCTGGCCCTGCGGCGCCGGCCAGCAGCGCCCTTTCCCCCACGGCCGTGGGGCCCTGCATGGCCTAGCGCATGCGCCAGCAGCAGTGGCTGGGCTGGGCTGGGCAGCACATGTGCTGTGCACCCCAGGCTGCATGCCAGTGGCCATGGCTGGCCCGCACAAGGGC